ACACACAAGCCTAACAAAATCATTTGAGCTAGAAAGCTTCACTGTCAAACCTCACACTCATTAAAACCATCCATGCAGAGCTAATTATAGTGTTATATGGGGCCTGTAGTGTGCAACTTATTTCTCTGGTTCATCCACTCAAAACATAAACATTGCATGCTTTGGTTTTGTGACCGCTCACTTATCGACGTTCGCTTAAACAAACATATAGACCAAAGAGGTGTCGTTGCAAAATGTTGCTATAAATAAAAAAGGTGAAGACAGAAGAGAAACAGAGTGGTGGGCAGTGTGAGAGTGCAGGGACAGGCAGATCTTTCAGAATGTTACTGCTCTGGCTTATTTTAGTCTTGTGTGTTACCACATATCTGCTGGCACCAGAGTACATCTCTTCATGGGTACACTGTTTACCTCTGCTGCTATCATAAAAATCACTGTATTTCTAGCTATCATGAGACACTGTTTGTTTACTGTAGGTGAATATGTATATGAAGGTTAAACAAAAATGACCTGTATTTTTTTCTTTCTAATTTAACTGGAGTGCTATTTAAGCAGTGGTGTAATGTAACGAAGTAATAATACTTCGTTACAGTACTTAAGTATTTTTTGGGAGTATCTGTACTTTACTTGATCTCAAGTCGAGTCTGGGGTGTGCGATACAGCATCGTCTGCGATAATATGGTAAGTGTTGTTGTAATGATGTGCTTTCTGACATTATCAAGTAGGCTATATCACCAAATCACACCTCTACCAAAGCCATTTTCTGGTAAGATATCTGTACTTTTACTTGAGTATGGCTTTCAGGTACTTTATACACCACTGTATTTAAGTAAATCAGTCTGAAATCTAAAATAATATACTTAGATTTTACTGCTTAAGCTTTTCGTTGTATTGAAGTTTTGTGCTAATATGCTTGTACATCTGATGTTCTCATTTGTAGTAAAACAAAATTAAACTGTAATCAGAACAGAAAAAATAGAAGAAGAAATTATCTCTGTATGTGGCACTTTATGTACAAAACAATTTTTAGTAAAGCCTTTGCTGTAGTCAGCGCTTTGAAAGGAACAAATCCTCGGAGTTGCCTTTGCCATCTGTAGAGCTCTCTAGCCAGTGCCATTCTGCTGGCCTGCTCGACAGGGAGAGATACGACAGAGATGGACCCAGTGTTGACACGAGCTGTGCATTCTGGTTTAAATGGCTTGTCTTGTAGTCATTTTTGACACCTTTGCTTTCGATACAACACATATAGGCGAAGGACACGGGCACATGGCTGAGTTATTGTTATGGTGAGAGAGTTATGGCAATGTTAGGCCAGACCCCACAGGCGGCTAACTGTTATGGTTCCTAGAACAACAAAAGTTAGAGCTCAGGTTCTTATCAGGGAAAATGCAGTGATGTGACTCGAGGAAAGAACAGAAGCTCTCTCACAGTGAAATCGAACCTCGTTTGAAATCAGTGATCATTAATTAGCTCTTTCTTCATACGAGCATCCAACCAACAGACAATGCTCTGTTTTCGGAGTATTGTCACAAAATACTGCAGGGAATTTTAGGAAAGCTCCTTCCGCAAACAATCAGCCTTTCATTGTCATCTCTGACAGTTCTCGTCTAAAATGTGACATTTGACCTAATAAATTATAATTAAGTAATTAGAGCTGTCTACATTTCTCTGTGATATACTGAACCTGTCCTTTGTATTAGGAGACACATGTTCATTTCATGATCAGATCAAAGTGAATTTTAATGGCATATTTTATTTCATTATCTTGATTGTTCTGGTATTGTTCCGTTATTATGCCTTTGGTTTGTGTCTGCCTTACACATTATTTAAATAGCTATTTGGAGCTTTACCGTTTGGAATTGTTGAATTCACTGTTGTTGGTCATTTGGACTGAAGATTTAGAGTAGTGGTTCTCAACCAAGTTGAGTGGTTCTCAACTCAAACCAAGTCCCACTAGGGGCCACGGCAAACTTCCAAGGAAACCATCAAATTATTTATATATGGTACTTGTCTTTTTATCAGATGGGTGTCTTTTTTACAACAACAGAAAGGCATTCATAACTGAAAGATTTACATAAAAAAGCCCGACTACATTTTCATATCACACTCTGTACAACATACCAAATAATAAATTAAAGATAAGAACAAAAATAAGAAAAATAAACCTAAATAAATCAATTAATGCAAAATAAATATATAAATAAATAAAACAAAAAATAAATAATTGCTTTGGGTATTTTCATCCCTCTTAATGTCTCCAGATATATTAGAAATCCCTCTTTAAAAGCCACTAATCGTGGAGGAATTTTGAAAAAATTACATTATGAATTTCAAATTTCAGCAAAAGCAAACCAGATGGGTATCACGTCATAAAATATTTTAATACGACTGAATTTGTATTTAACGTGATCACAATTTAACCAACAGACAATGCTCTGTTTTCGGAGTATTGTCACAAAATACTGCAGGGAATTTTAGGAAAGCTCCTTCCGCAAACAATCAGCCTTTCATTGTCATCTCTGACAGTTCTCGTCTAAAATGTGACATTTGACCTAATAAATTATAATTAAGTAATTAGAGCTGTCTACATTTCTCTGTGATATACTGAACCTGTCCTTTGTATTAGGAGACACATGTTCATTTCATGATCAGATCAAAGTGAATTTTAATGGCATATTTTATTTCATTATCTTGATTGTTCTGGTATTGTTCCGTTATTATGCCTTTGGTTTGTGTCTGCCTTACACATTATTTAAATAGCTATTTGGAGCTTTACCGTTTGGAATTGTTGAATTCACTGTTGTTGGTCATTTGGACTGAAGATTTAGAGTAGTGGTTCTCAACCAAGTTGAGTGGTTCTCAACTCAAACCAAGTCCCACTAGGGGCCACGGCAAACTTCCAAGGAAACCATCAAATTATTTAAAATAAGACAAAACAGGCTTTAAAATTAGCTAAAAACAGCTAAAAATCAGGATGTAAGCTGGCATCACATTTATTAATTTAGTTGTTCCCTTTAACTGTTAAAAAAATAAAAATTTATTTTAAATTTATTTAAAAAAAATAAAAAAAGACTGAATTTGTATTTAACGTGATCACAATTTAATAAAAACATTGTAAGTTACTAATTATAACCCCTTCATTTCCACGGTTATTCAAACAGCGAAGAAATGACAAAAAATTAGCAAAGAACATTTACATTATCACTTCAGCATGAGTTTAAACATTCCCAGAAACTCCCGTTATAATCAATGAAGCTGTCTATACTGTGAATTGAACACGACAATCTTACTTACACGACATTGTACATACTTCTGCACGATGTTTATAATGAGTGAATTCAGTCAGCCAGGGCGCACACTGAACAAAACTCTGGTGCTTCAGCGATGACTCATCTGAACGTCTCTGATTGGCCATTGTTGCATTCATAAGCTCAACAGAATCGTGTGTGATTGGTTATAATGCGCAACGCTGTTAAACGCGTAAAAAGAAATATCATGCAACATGAGCAGATCTAAATTTAATGCCGTAATCCATACTTTTCATTTCATTTTCATCTTCACTTTAATCGCGACATTTGTAATAGATTTAGTTTAATTGCACAGGAGCACATTTGTCCAGTTTGGTGGCATTTGCCCCAAGCCCCCGTTAATTTCCAACCCGTGGCCAGGGGAAGGGGAACCTTGCCCAGCCTTGCTCCGCCTATGCACCCACCCCAAAAATGTCGTCATTTACTCACCCTATAAAGGAAAAAGGACACAAAAACACCAAAGAAGTAGTCCACATGACTATATATTCCAAGTCTTCTGAACTTACTCAATCGCGTGTTCATGAAAGAAGAAATGATGTTTGATTTGTTAGGGTTAGGATTGTGAGCCAATCATGAATCAGGTGATTTAGTTCACAAAGCCCCCCTCTGAATGATTTGTTCATAAATTAGTCATCCTTAACTTTTCACAGCAGTCGGGTTTGGTCCCTTCAGTGAGTGATCCTTATTTCTTAACCTATGTTAGTACAACATACTGTACATACTGTACACAAAGATGAACCTGTTGACACTTTTAAAGCATAGGCTAATTTTACCTAGTCGTATAGGCCTATGACTTCCTCTTGCAGTGGCCTATGCCTCTTTGTCAACTAGACTAGAGAAACAGTCCAGACATTTTCCACAAATAGGTGGTAGAGAGTGGTTAGGGCGTGCGTGTTAAGTACATCTTAAAAAGTCATTTCAGACAATAATGGGTAGTAGTGTGTGTTCAGACGCCCTCTTCTTGCACAATTTGACGCTGCAGAAAGAAGCGAGCCTGGGCTGTCTGTCCTGTTTTCAAGCTCAGCCAATCCTCTATGTGCGAGGGGCTTCAGCATCATGATATTTAACACACCCACCCTGAACATACGACAGGGGTATTTCCTCAAGCGCCTGTCAACGGGCGAGCATCACCTTCATATGAGCTGGATGTTCAGCAAGAAACGCTGAAACTTTCTCCAAAGATCACATTTGTCGACGGAAGGAGCTGCGATGCCACACTTTCTCGAAACCTGCCAGGACTGCCATGCATCTCGTCGCTTTCAACGACTGAACAGCTTCGATTTGTACCGGATAAGAAGAGCGAATGAACTTGTGCAGCTGTGAAAGTGATCTCGCGCGTTGTGTGAATAGCGACAGATGTTTTCTCCGTACACTGAGGACCGCGGCATCGCGAACACGCACTTTTGTGGATAATTTCTCTGACGAGGCTTGACTTAATTATAGGCTATTTCGCAAATATCTGCAGCTATTAAATGTTAAAATAGAATAGCCATTGTGTCGGAGATTGTTCTCACGTCTCATCAACTGACTGCACGGGAGGAATTTAATCGCGAGCGCACGTAAATAACGGGATTATTGTTTCGCATGGATGTGGATGAGCGCTTTGCTATATAAATCCTTCTTTCTGCCCTTAAACTGGCAAATGAAAACGAAAACGTTCCATGTGTTCTTCTCATAAAATCGGGAGCCCGTGTTTTATATACTGTTGGCGATGTAGTGCGCTTGCTCACTTTTATCCCTGCCATTCCAAACAAGTCTTTTCTCGAACAGGAGCCCCTGAAGATGATCCTCTTTCGAAAATTCCGCGTCTTGATTCTGATGGTGTTTCTTATAGCCTGCTCTATGCACATTATGATAGACTTGTTACCGAAACTGGAGAGACGGAGCAGTAGCGCGTGCTCGTGCTCACACACACCCAGCGAAGAGCCGCAGAACTGGGCTAAGCATCGAGCCAAGCCGGGATCAGAGTCCGGCTGGCCTAATAAACACACACTCAGAATACTTCAAGACTTCAGCAACGAGCCGAACTCAAACCTGTCCTCTCACTCGCTGGAAAAGATCACCGTTGGGGAGAGATCCGAGGCTCTGAAAAGATTTGAGCAGTTGACAGGTGACGAGAAGAGGCACGCGACACGGGACTCTACCTTGAAGAACGCAGTTGTCAAGGGTTCGAGGCTCTCTGCGCTATTTGAGCGTCCTTTATACACCAGGCCATTGCCTCCTTTAACAGACGAAGACACTTTGTTCAATGTCAACACCGATATAAGATTTGACCCTAAAGCTGCAGAGAACCCAGAGTGGTAGGTTGAGAATCTCAGTTTTTGTTCTGTCTCTTACACATTAAAACACCCGCAAGACTCCTAAGTGCCTACAAATAATCATGTTTTCCCCAAATAATGTTGATTTCCCAATGATGATGATTATAATGAAAAGGTAAGATAAAAGTGTGAACAAAATTATTACAGTTTTTGATATTATTATTATTATTACAAATATTATTATATATTTTTTATTATAATTATGCATTTGTTCTTGAGAATGTAAATTAAAACACCTCATGGGGTTCAGAACAACATATGAGTCATCTCTGAAACAGCACAACATTCATTGCATTTGGGACATGTCTTTCTGTAGGAATGAGGAAGGTAAAGATGGAAATTATGCTCCTACGGTGGAGATGTCCTCAGATTCCTACCCAAACTGGCTCCGCTTCCACATTGGGATCAACCGGTATGAGCTTTACTCCAGGCACAACCCAGTCATTGATGCAATGCTGAAGGATCTGGTGTCACAGAGAATTACCAGTGTTGGTAAGGCAATATTTGAGATTACACAATAGAAGGATTAGAGTTAAATCTTAAATGGGAAGGTGATTTTAGGATTGCATGCACTGGTACTGTTATGATGCATGCTTTGAGTGCAGCATCATCTTTTAGTGCTGCTCTTCCTAACAGATTTAAATAGATTTGTTGAATGAAGTTTCTCCAAGATAATGGTTAGACTCTTCCTGCACTCTGGCTGCAGATGCATCAATAAAATTGGTCTGAGATTCATTGGTAGTGGATTCCAACAGAGTAAATGAACGAGAAGAGCGTGCAATTTAGACTTAATCAAACGCCATGCTGTGGAAAAGTATCTCCTGCCAGGCAAGCATACATATCGTCAAGTAGACTTGTACTTGATGGGTTGCATTTATGTGAAGCCCCAAGGTCAATATCTCAACTTATTACACAGCTCTCCTGAATACTTGATTCTGATTAGACGATTGCTGTATTCTGTGGTCAGAATATTTTTGTATAATGACCACTAAACTGTATATTTGACCAGTGTCCCTGGCAACCAATATCTCTCACATCAACACAAGCTTCTCTGCTTAAAATGATAAAATAATTCCTCAAATCAATATTTAATGTCCTTTTATTTACTTATTTACTAAGTAGCAATGTAATAAGGGAGATGATGTACAGTAACCCAGTCATTATCACAAAATAAACCCATTTAGCATGATCTAAGCCCCTCTGGTTCATGTCGGGGTCTGGATTTATTTTGATTTATATTGACTGGTTGACTGTACATTTATTCCTCATTAATATACTGTTTAGGGTTTCTAAGAACTCTAGAAGAAAGTTGCATGTTAATCTGCAGTGATAGCGATCTTTAAAAAACTGGCATGGCACAACAAGCCTCTTAAGTGACCCAAGGCGGTGTTTTCCTTCATCTGTTTGTGATTGCCTGCATATTCATTACAACACGCTTTTTAAAAAAAACGTCTTATCAGCTTCCCTAAAAGGACTGCGTGTATGTCCAAAATACACTTGTTGCCTTTGTTTTTTCAACCGTTTTTAATCAAATACAAGACAAGAACCATCTGCAATGACAGGAAAAATAATTTTCTTAATTGGATTTTCACATTGTTATTGCTACTTGCATAATGAGTCTTATCTTAAATGGTTCATTGTAAAAAGGCTTGATATGAAAATTTAGCATCACTCTTATTCTCTCTGTAGCAATGAAATCTGGAGGTACGCAGCTGAAGCTCATCATGACATTCCAGAACTATGGCCAGGCGCTCTTCAAGCCCATGAAGTAAGTGATACAGTACGAGGAAAATGATGATGCAGTTGTTAATTTCCCCATGGTTAATTATTATGTTTGTGTAAACATCTATAATCTTGGCATCAGTGTTTTTTTGTTTTTTTTTACATTTTTATTGGTTACTGCTTCTATGTTCCAGGTTTAGAATATGTCTGATTGTCTTAAGGGAATTTTTCCTGTTCTATATAGTTGTCTATACCCTGTTATTAAATCTTCTGACGGACACCATTGTGTGGTGCTTTTAGCTCAGCTGCTCAATTCTATTTGGGTACGTCTGTTATTATAATCGGGTGATAATATGCTCGGATCAGAGCTATTGAAAAAGGATTTATAGTCGTCGGCATAGTGATCCACAATGGATGGATCATATCCCATTTGAAATGTAGGTTACAAAGGGAGGGAGGTTGTTTTATGGATTTTGACAACCCCTCGGGGCAAATAATAGTTGCCTCCCTGTAATTTTTCCGGATCTATAAATGGCAGCAAGTAAATCTTTGGTGTCATTGTCAGATTCAGAGCAGCAGCCCCTCCATTTGCATGCGCCTTAATTATCGGTTTCACAGACACTGCTTATGCTTTCTCTGGCAGATTAGTATTTAATGTCTTAGTGGTCTCATTGCTATCATTGAGATTCACTCCGTTTCCTCAATGGTTTTTCATAGCACCAGTTAAAGAGTAATGTATACAGGATGTGGGCCTTGGTGACTGAATCATTACTAATGTGCCGGTCGACCGTATGTCCTGCCAGCTGAGTGCCTTTATTGGCCATGAAGCTGGTGTTCAGACTGCAGACATCCTGTATTCATAAAGGCATGGTTTAGCATCGACAGACTTTATTATGAGATGCTTTTCCGTGTGTGAGTTGATCAATACTCTTGAATTTTATGTAGATGAATGTATAATGCCCATGCTGTTTTTCTGTATTCTGATAATTTTTTCAGAATTAAGGAAGCCAATATATGTGGCACATAAATATGTCCCAGAGGTTCAGAGATGTTCTTGGGGAGTATTTAAGGAGAGATAGGAACAATGGGTCTTTGGTGACAAGAAGCTGATAAATGTTATTAGAGAGAGTAGATCTGAACCCAGCCTGCTCCTGCTATAATTAGCACAGACCAACAAAGGCACACTCATTTCTTCTAGCCACAAGCTAAACACTTCACCCCCATCTTGCTTTTTGAGATCATCTTTTCTCTTGTGCTCTCCCTTTTCACTGATAGTTTGCAACCCAGGACTTACTCGACCTTCATTTTGTAAATAATTTTTTCACAAACTGATTTGTCTACGTGCTTTCCATACCTTCTCTGACGAGTCAGGCAAGGACGTGTTCTTGCAACATGTGTGGTTTAGCAGAACAAGTTTCTTTCGTTTGATTCATGCCTGCATGCCACACACTCAGATCTTCCTTTCTTACTGTACAGCCTGAGGAAATTGCCTAATCAGCTTTAATTCTCTTAATCATATTAAAGGCAATTCTATCATCATTCACTTACCTTCATGTCATTCCAAACCTGTATGATTTTCTTTCAACCGTGAAGCACAAAAGTGAATGTTTAGAAGAATGTTCACGCTGCTCTTTTCAACAAAGTGAAAGCAGATTGTGACCAGGGCTGTTACCAAGGTTATTTTCGTAAACGAAGACTAAAACGATTGATGAAAAAACTATTTCGTAAACTGAAATAAAATAAAAACGTCAAAATAATTGAAAAACTAAAACAAAACTAAACTAACAACAGTTATTGAAAAACTAACTGAAATAAAATAATAATGATCAAAAATAAATAATCGTTTTTGTAATATATAGTAACAGTAAATATAGGCTACATTCATACTAAATATCTCAACACACATAATTGGATATGATATATATGACGCAACTTTAGTAGATTAATTTACTAAAACAGGATTGACTGCTTTCTTTGGCAAATATTTGTATACTTTTACTATCCAATCAATCTCAGCATGTGTTAATTTTGTGTCGCTATATGTTTGCCTCACTAAGGTTAATTTATGCCTACGTCTGTCTTTGGCCTGCGCTCTGGAAGTGATCTGTTAATTCTGCTCAACTTTAATTAAAACTGAAACTAAAACTGAAACTAAACTATATAAAAACTAAATAAAAATGCGTTCACAAAATAAAAACTAAACTAAAACTAACAAAAATATGAATGAAACTAATAAAAACTAAACTGAATTTTATAGCAAATTTGAAAACGATATTAAAATAAAACGAATGTAAAAATTCAAAACTATAATAACCTTGCTTGAAAGCAAGGAAAGAAAAAAAATGAAGAGAAAGAAATGTCAGCATTTGAATATTTGTACTTTGCAGCAGAGAATGGTTGACATCTGATTGAAAAGAAAGCACTGTACCCTTAGTAGGGTGCATAGACTCGATGGGATTCCTCTGCTGTCTTTACAGAAGGGAAAACGGCATCAATTTCTTGAAGTGGTGGCGCAATACAAGTCACGAATAGTGAATTAATGTGAAAATAGCACAAAAGGGAGGTAAGATCATCTTCATGCAACACGTTACAGAATAAGGCATAGACCCTGAAGACTGGCACTCCACACAGTTTCCTGAATTGATTTCAGTTTATTCCCTGCACAACCCATGCCTTTAAATTTGCATTCAAAGGCCATATTAAGGAGCATTTGCCGAATATTGCCTTATAAATAGTGAATGCCAAAAAAAAAAAGAATGTTGCAATTCAAGAGGATTTATACATCAGTACTGCATGAACATTGAAAATATTCAGGATACAGCCACAAAGCAGCAGAATTTGATTGTCGGTCCTAATTTAGAGTGCTAAATACAATTACATTTACCAGGGTTCACCGCCATTCAGAACTGATCTGAAGAAGCCTTTTCAATTACAATTCAATTCAAGGAATTTGAACCTAAGCAGCAGACAGGATGCTGAATTGCAATTTAAAGTTGAATGTAGAGAAGTAGAATTACAACCAGTCTTTCTTTGGCCTGCGCTCTGGAAGTGATCTGTTAATTCTGCTAAACTTGAATTAAAACTGAAACTAAACTATATAAAAACTAAATAAAAATGTGTTCACAAAATAAAAACTAAACTAAAACTAACAAAAATATTAATGAAACTAATAAAAACTAAACAGAATTTTATAGCAAATTTGAAAACGATATTAAAATAAAACGAATTTAAAAATTCAAAACTATAATAACCTTGGCTGTTACACTCCATAAATAAGAGAAAACCACCATAAAATGGTGAAGGGGGAAGGTGAATAACAATTTAAAGGTCATATGGTGCTTTTTAAAAATAATTTTGAAAGCTTTACAGTCCATAGTTGCCATTCGCTTTCATTGTATGGAAAAGAGCTGTCACAAAGCCATGCCTAACATCTCTATTTAAGATCTCCAGAATAAAGAAAACCATACAGGTTTAGAACAACATTAAATGTTTCCTTCACTTATTCATTTGTAGCGTGTGTTTTTGGCAGATTTAATTTGGGCTCCTGAAAACTGGCTAGATTGTTAGATAATTCACTATGATCATTTGATAGAATAAAAGCACTGTGATTGGTCTCAAAAGCAGGTAATTTTGTCTGGAATTCTTATGTGGCTTGTCAGCTTAAGCATCTGCTTAAGCAGAAGTACTTAGGCTATTTAACAGAATTAATTAAACTCTATTGATGAATGTGTGTGTGAGTGAATTAGTGGGTTGACAGATCAGAGGGGTTCATAGTTTTTTAAGAACTTCCACAGTCAAGGTTTAATAAAGAAAAGATACAAGAACTCAGTGTAGGAGAGGCGAGCGCTTCTAAATGCATCATTGCTCAAGCACTATTTAAAGATAAAGGAGATTTCAATAGCAAAAAGACGGGCATAGAGGAGAAACAATAATGTACAGTATGTGGAAAATAATGTGTTTTTTTAACTTTAAACCGCATAAACACATTTCATTACACCAAATACACAAAATAATGTTCTTTTTAGCAGCATCATATGACCCCTTTAAAGGCTGCTCTCTGAGGCATGAAATGCTCCAAAATGGATCTTCCTCTGTCCTGAGACATAGAGGCAAAGGGAGAACAACACAGTTGTTCTCATCTGCTTGTGTTGTTTGACATCTTTTTGTAAATATCACATGATAAGCATACGTCTAGCACAGACTTTGAGCAGTGATTCTTAAATGGGTTTGCTTGACCCAGATTGGTCCGTTGGAAATCCAGTGTTATTTCAAGTACCAATATTGATTATTGTAAAAACGTTAGCAGAAATACCCTTAAAATCAAATATTAAAATGTGTTATTATTACTATGAGCTGCATAGGTCCAACAATATGCAAAATGATTTAAAAATTGTATTTTAATTTATAGGTATCATTTTTGATTGTCTTCATGTTTCGACACAAAATAATTCATGGTCGACTCAAATGAAAACTATTCAACATAGGAACATTTTTTTACTAGCCGTAGTTTTGTTCTTGGCTTTTGGGGCCTATTTGGTGTATTTATTTTGTTAGCCTAACTATGGTTAACTATACAGTTAAAGTTCATTTTATTATATATAGTTTTTTCCCTGTTGTTCACATCCACCAGTTGAGGACTACTGGAAGAACATCTCACACAGCTGCATGACTGTGGGTCTCAGAGAGATTGAATGAAATGAATCAGATGAATGAGTGTTTGCCTGTTATCTCTCACTCATGAAACCTCCATTAGTGTTGATCCACCATGTAGCTGACTGCAGCCCCGCTTCCTCAGAAGCACTGACATGCTTCATCCATAATTAGCTCCTCCCTGGTCACACTAGACGGGATTTTTGGACAAACATGCTGTCATTGATTAAACTAATCTGATGAGTCATTCCGGTGCTGCTCGCTTAGCTGTTTGACAGATGAGAGATGCTAATGTAAAATTTATGCTAGAGGTATGAATTTCACCACAGACGGTACAAGGAGAAAGAGATGGGCCTCTCAATGGGAATCCAAATGCTAAATGGAAGTCCCGTCCCT